ATTGCTGAAGCTCATATCGTTCCCTCGCTCTATACGATTGCACGAGAGCCGCATAAGCCAGATTGGGTAGAAGATCTGTATAGTTTTCATGCCATATCTCAGTTTCGCACACCCAAGATATATGCAGACACCCTGTTGCACTTCACATCACTATCCGATTTTCGGGATGTTGAAGGCGATAATTTATCGATTACTTATTTCTCAATGCTCCACAGAGGACATGATGCGCTGCTCCCATCTGCTGGTGAAACACGAGGGATCACGCAATCCTAAATCGTGGCGCCAGGACGGTGTGATCACGCGCACCAAGGACGAGGCTATGGAATTGCTGATGGGTAAGTGAATGTTTGATTCTGGAACAACATATCTAATTTTAGGGACCGAATCGACATCGTTGTCTACAATCAATTTACAGTTTCGATCGGATTCGGATTTATACTACCAATTGAACTAGCATTGCATGCCCAATAGTTGACAATTTCTCAGAATGTAGCAAATACATGATCTATAGTTGTGGTACGCGCATTCAAAGTAGTACAATTTTACCGGTTCAACTTGAATTTAAGAGAGAAAGTAGCGATAATTGAATGATTTGAAGGTTGCTGCTTAGTCTTCAAAAGTCAATTTCGAAGCTATTGCAAAACAAGTTCGACTATCTATGTTGTCCATCAACTGTCGTATGATGCTCCGCAAGCCGAATAGTTATTGATTCAATTTCTAGTTCCTGCACTAAAAAATTCAGCGAGTACATCACAACATAACTCTTTCGTTCTATCCGTTGCATAATTCAAACACTTAAAATAAAGGCTATCGCAAGCGTATTGAAGATGGAGAGGACTTTGGCACACTTGCGAAAGAGTTTAGCGACTGTGGTAGTGCACGTAACTGTGGCGACTTGGGACCATTTGGCCCAGGACAGATGCAAAGTATGTCAAATTCTGTTTTCAGAATCTGGTGCGTTGAAATATTTTAAATTCTGTTTTTACGAATCCGGCGCGGTTTCTTCTTTGCATCCCCGTCAGACTGATGTGCAAATCGATGTCATGTGTGCGACGGTGATGGTCACTGGAGTGAGTGTGTATAATCTATCCATCACAGATGCGAATTACAATGCTTTTCAATTTCAAAGCTTCGGTATAAGTAAGCGACATATGAGTTTTAACCTCACTCGGTATAGCGAGGAATGCCCGTTTAACGTGCTTAGGGAGTGCAATACCGGAGTTCCTAGCGATGTATCACTTGCTCTTGTTCACACTTGTTGAGTGGGGAAGAAATGCTGACATTACATTCATTCTATGCGTCATGCCATCCTTCTGCTTGACTGATAACTGCTCTGCATTGGACTCGGCCACTTGGGACCCACTCACATGTCCACCGCAAACATTACAGAGGCCTTTGAGGATGCCACGTATGTGTTTTGGAATTGTGGGCTGTTATTTGCACGGATAGAATGTATAGCATGCAGGGTTTGCAAGTGAATGCCAGATGTTCTTCAGTAGACATATTTAACTCAGTCTAGCATTGAGCTGTATGATATCAATACGTATTTGCTGCTGACCGAAGTGAAAGTGAACTTGCAGCTATCTGTTGGGAGACGACAGCCGTAACTACCGGTCTCTCATATCATATACGTTCTTTCTCTGGCCACCTAACTATTCTGATTACACAGGAAGGTGCTCTCTGTCGGCGAGATGTCTGGCGCTGTTGATAGCGATTCCGGCCTTCACATTATAAAGCGCACAGCGATTCAATAAGTCAGATATCAACAAGAGGACGGCGATACTGCGAATCGAATAAAGTGCGGAGTCTGATTGCCTCTAAAAGTTTCATTGAGCGCATAGCAGCGCAACCACCAGATTCTAGCCACCCCGAACCAACAGATTTTGTACATTCCGGTGACGATATGAATGTTAATTACTGACACCGCTATCGAATAGTGTCTGTTTAAGCATGGAGTTAGGGGTGATCACTTATACTTCCTTTGTCAGGCATGATGCAGGCGCGCTCATTGAGTTGTACCGTAAGTTCTCGATGCAATAAGTAAAACCGATCTGTAGCAGCGTACATTCATGTTAGTCAAAAGTTCAGAATATTCGGCTGAGATTGTTCAGTTAATGAAGGTGAACTGACCCCTGCAAGGCCAATCAGCAAGAGTTACTACGCATATATAGATATAGATATATATATAGATATAGATATATATATAGATATATATATATATATATATATATACATAATACACATGTATACATACATACATACCTATATAAATATATATATATATATATTTATTACATATATATATATAGTTACACACACACACACGCACACCGACTTATATATATATATATATATATATATACAGACACCGACACCGACACCGACACACACACACATATATATATATATATTATATATAAATTTATGTATAGAATAATAGCACCTTCAGACACGCGTCGGGTCTCGATTACCACCGTTTATTATTGATGTCATCGACGTATGAGGACGCTCTTGTCCCACAGGCATCGGCACTGGAGCGATGTGATATTCACTCTGTCAAACTTTGTAATGTAAAATATTGTCAAGTTGTCGACGCACAAGAGTGAATAGAGGAGGAGGGCACTTTCTCATACGTGTGTCTACCATACACACACTCGAACTTGATGTCGCGGTCGAGATCGCACATACAAGGCAGAGAAAGCGACCTCTTCGGGTTGCCAATTCCCAACGTATGACATGCCACCTGTGGACCTCCACCCACAATTATCAGGCATTTCTAGCTGCAATAGGGCGATCACCATACAAAGACATAGCCAATAGGTGGTCACCATACTATGTATACTCAATATAGGTGTAGCTTGCGGCAGTACAGAAGTTGTCTGGTGCATACCCAAAGAAGGCTTTTGATGTCATGTCCTCAAGGGTGTAAACCTTTCCGCGAGTGGGTGGCAAGAGTTGCCTAATCTCGATGGGCGAAGTACCACAAGAGAAATCGACTACTGTATCCAGTCAGCATCACAAACAGCATGTAACGCTGTTATACCCACAGACTGTGCCCGTCTCGATGAATACGATGAATAGCAAGACAGACGTGTACTGACGGGTGCGGCGTGATCAGTTCACGAACGAATCCATGTACGTGCGTGATCTGTGCCTCATTGTCGTCTATTGAGCCAGTCTACACCTCATTCTAAGACTTGCCAATAAATGAGATGTCGGTTGTCTTTAAAGTTTGGTTGACCGCGATCAGATCGAACGGCACAACGTCGTATCGGTACCCTCGCCCTATACGCCAACTGTTTCGATCGAACGACCTGTTTTGACTGAAATATTGATATCTTTCGTTGAGTACAAGCCGTCCTTGCATGTGAAGAGACATACGGTAAAGCACGAGGTGGTATACTACACTGCAACGTATATGACCACGTAATAAAGTGGGAGTACTTGCGACGGATGTTGAATCGAGTAGAGTCTGAATTTAAAAACGGCGGTGAGGGAAGGTACTCTTGCGGACGTGCGGTTGTGTTTAGAGTATTGATTGTGAGCTAGCCTTGGATGTGTATGCACAATGAATTACACCAACAGCTATGCATCTACGCATACTAATGCTATACACTGCACATGTACAAGGACTTACACCTAAAAATGCGAATCTACACATATAATGCTATATACTGTACATGGACAAGGACTTACACACATATAATGCTATATACTGTACATGGACAAGGACTTACACACATATATGCATCAGCACATGCTAATACTATATACTATACAAGGACAAAGACTTACACCCGTATATACATCTACACATACATATCCCTCAAACTGCATATGGACATGTTACACAAACACATATACACCTGCACATGTACAGAGACTTACACCTACAAATATACATCTACACATGTAATGCTAAATACAGTACATGAACAAGGATCTACACACACATATATGCATCTACACGTACTAATGCTATAGCACATACTAATACTATATACTGTAGATGGACAAGGACTTACACCTGTATATACATCTACACATACTTATATCATAAATTGTGCATGGACAAGGACTTTACACAAACACATATACATCTGTACATACTAATGCTACATACTGTACATGGACAGGGACTTAATCCCACATCTATGCATCTACTCACAATGCTCTATACTGTATTTGGACAAGAACTTACTCCGACAAATATACATATGCAGATACTAATACTATATACTGTACATGGACAAGGACTTACACCCATATATATGTGTCTGCCCATACTAATGCTATAAATTATACAAAAACAAGGATTTAAACCTAAATCGATGAATCTACACTCTGATAATATATACCAATGGGGTTGTGTGAGCATACCTGTCGGCATTAAATATGAGCATCATCGCCTCATAACCGAAACGGCCTCCACAGCTCTCTGGAGGACATTGGTGTTCTCCTGCTATACACCTGTCATGGAATATATAATTAATGAAGTATTTAGCTACTAGTCTAAAATGGTCGTACAGTAATTGACTAATAATCATGTACGTTTCAGCTCACTCATGACAACTGTAGCCAATCAGCATCGCCTAAATCGCAAAAAGTCACGCACACCGTCCGTGCCCATCAATGGCCAAGCTTAGATCATAGATATACATACAACGATTAAGCTTGCTATATTATTTACACTGACCGAATAAATAAAATCCCATACCTTGGTGTTGGATGTGGATTGCGTATAATGTCCATGAGTTCAAGTGTATGTTCCCACAAATCACTGAAATCGTAGATGTAATCCGCTTTGCAGCCGACATGCTATTGTTTGCACACAGGAAACAAATGGACAATAGTGAGGGACAGGAGGATAACAAGTTCATCAAAAAAAGAGGGCTTACAATTTAAATCATCACTGTAAATACTAGTTCGTTGACCGTTCTCCATCTCGTCAGCTACCCTCATGAGCTTGTATACATAATTTCGACCACTCCGTATAATTCAATGTTGAGTCCCAGATAGCACCACATTTCTTTGCTAATTAGCACCCCTTGAACACAGGCTAAAACACTTTTTCTCTTGAACACGGTGAAAACACATTTTCTTAGTAGGCTTACTACACACTACAGTTATAAATAGATAAGGGTTATAGTGTGTCATACGGAACTTAACATACGCAGATAACATCCTTGTCTTCAGAATAATCGCTGAATAAACAGTACCTTGAACAATTCAGCAACGGTGTGATTTTTATCCGGCCTCTTTTTGGTAGGCATATCTATCCCCATCTGCGCATACCAAGCAGCTTGCTCGGCCTCGTCGAACGCACTCTACAAATGCAAGAAATACAAGTTCAGTGAAAAGAATTAAATCGCACTCCTAACCTGGACTTCCGCCAGCAATTAACACTCTAGCATGGTGTGCATGCAGGCTATTGCAGTTTCCAGGTATAAATACCTTGACACTGGCGATTCGAATATATCTACAGCACACGAAAGGTTAAAGAATACTGCGTGCACATCGTCTAATACTTTGACACTGGCGACTCGAATATATCTACAGCACACAAAAGGTTAAAGAATACTGCACAGTGCAAATAGTCTACTACTTTGACACTAGCGACTCGAATATATCAACAGTACACGAAAGGTTAAAGCATACTGTACAATGCACATAGTTAAATACTGTGACAATGACGACTCGAGTTTATCAATAATACACGAAAGATAAAAGGACGTATTGTGGCTATAGTACATACTGAGGTCGAACCCCCTATCATACACTTGATCCTACACAAGAAATTACCATTTCATCCTCGCTAGACTCAGTGTCGCTCGAATAGTCGGCATGTCGGCCAAACTCTATAGAACTATCCGGCAAGCTGAACACGTGCAGATGTAAATTGGACCAGCCCATGGCAACCTGTTTATATGAATTAAAGTACGTTCACACCCGCGAAATGGAGAAAATCAGAAAGTGTACACTTACAGATAGCGTGGCATCTGAGACATGTGTCACTAGTTATTTGATAGTGGCCGCAGAATATGGGTTATACAGGTAGAACATTATACACAGTAAATAGTGTGTGTGCAACTGTGAAGAGAGCGGTGAAGGTTCCCATTCTAAGAATAAGTTTAGTATCTGTGCTTAAACTGTTCGCGCGCAAAGGCTATTAAAAGCTTCGCGTGTATTGGTTCTGGTGTTTACCTGGATAACTTTGTGCAATGAGGACAAGCTCATGTCACTTGGAACGTTTATTTCGCGCCAAACAGTCGGTCTGCACTCCTTCAGCTCAATCCTAATAACATAATTAGGCTGCGCGCATATATAGTCCACAGGCATACTGTGGGTCCGGCTGGAGCGTTTGTTTCAATGGCTTGAGTCTTGAATCTCGTTATCGGATCCCCTTTAGATACGCGCAATCGAACCGTAGTCGAATTCAAATGTCTCAACAGGACCGGTGTTTGAAATTCTAACCGTGCTGACACGGGTTAAATCATAATGTTGTATTTAAGTGCATACGTGGCTTTTTTTAGGGGCCTATGGCATACGGACCGGGTCGTTTCAACGTTTGTCGTATTTTATTCGCGCGCCAAAAATAGACAAATACTCTCACTGCCACTCACTGCGACCAGCGGCAAGCTGTGATTTGTATGAATAGTGTCATTTATATATTTACTATTTAAAGAAAAAAACAATACAAAAAGAATAAAAACAAACCAAATAAAAAGTAAATACATACATTTGCTCATATTTACCGTACATCATGTGTACATATTCATGTAAATATGTATGTACTGATTGTGCTCAAGTTTTTCAGTGTATGAAGTACACATAGTGTAAATGCATCGGCACCAGGCGACCAGACGACAGACCAGCCGGGAGCCAACATTCATCAACGAGTAAATTAATATCTGAGAAATTAAAATATCAGAATGCATTCAGAAACGTTTACAACGCCCAAGAAAGTTATCCTCAGTTCTTCAAGATATATGGGCTACGGACGGCACCGAGATCTAACAACTCCCTATATTTTGCGAATACCAAGGCCTGTACACTTCACTGAAGATTTGCTACAGTTAAATGGATGGCAGGATGAAGAATTATTCATAATTCCACTGTGGTAGCTCTTGCCACTCTCAGCTACATAGCAGTGATCCAGAAAGCATATTCACCTCAGAAAAAATGTTGCATATTGAGTAGGCTCTACTAGTGGGTTCATTATAGGACCCTCTCGTGTACAATTGCCCTACATGTCGCAGACCTTATAATGCTGTGCGAGAAGGTCTACCATATCGATGTCCTTGTGCATGCTGACAAACAGTAGTGATAGGGTAGCTTACCGTCCCTTCGGCATACAATTTTTCATTTTTCTACACGCTGCTCATTTACCTGAAACTACTCAATCGTTTATTGGTGCATTCCAGTGTACCACGAGGTCAATGCCTTCACCAAACTATTACTTATCGAATTCAGTATGGCCAACACCAAATCCACAACTTATCGAGAAAAAAATTACCTATACATAGGGACAAGATTACGATAAATATCATTCACATAGGTAGGACTTCCTAGAGTGTTGATCACGAAGGAGTGAAACACGGGTTGCCAGTCGCCTATACAACGAATTATATAAAAGTAAAAAGTGATCTGAAAAAGTGAAGCATTTAATACAGTATGTATATACATATCAAAGTATCAACCATTACAGGTTTGAGGTTTAGCGAGAGAGGAGAGAGCACCAGAGTGATTCTTAGTCTTTGATTGGACGGCAAATTATTGTTGCTATGCCATGGAACATTATCTCGCAGCCAAAAAGTATAAACGTAAAATATTTTAACCCCCTCTAGGCTCTAGCGGGATTGCTTCGACAATCCTATTCTGATTTAACGTTTTTTACAGTTTCTATCTGTAAATATCTAGTTACTCTACACGAATAATATCTATGACTCTTGATTGCTGCCGATTGCCAATATTATCGTGAAGCGTATGAATTGGTAGACAAAGCCTGTGTGCCATTCCAGTTACCTGCTGCTTCAGTAGACACCGTGTTATATCCTCAGTCTGAGAGCCCATGATACAAAATAACGTTCGCACAAGTACCACTGTGAAGACTACTGGATAACCATGAGACAGATCTACCAGACCCCCATGCTTACCCGACTGCGGTCTCCGGCCAATGGTGGGTTAGTGACCAACTCCGCATCTACTTCTCCAGCGAATCCAAGGAAGACATCGCCGAATGCCTCTCCGATGGTCTCCACGAAGCCATCGTTTCAGATTGCCAGCAGCAAATCTAATCTGAAACGAGGGGAATCTGGTAAAGTGACTTGCATTGTTAAGACGATCGAGGCTCTGAACGCAGGCGTCAACGAACACTCGGACAACAGAGCTCTACAGTTCTCGGCTCGAGCGTGTCAACCACCGACTGTTGTCGAATCGGCAGATGGCCCTACTGAAGAAAGTGATAGAAAATCTACAGGCCCTCGCACGACTGAACCAGAAGCAGGACACTTAGATGTGCCAAAAAACTGTTCGGATGATTCGTTTGTTACAGCACCCGAGTCTGAGTCAGAATCTAACGCTAGCAATATATCAGAGTTGGAATACAATTTCCATTTTACCCCAGGCGCAGCAAACCCAGTCGGTGCTCAAGAGTCTGAAGAAGACACAGCAAATCTTTGTACTGTCACAGGCTCTACGTCAGATACTGCCCTAGATGTAGAATCGGAGGATAGGAGTATGCTAGCTTGTGATGTGGTGACAAGCACTGGCCACATCAAAGAAGCGAGTTCGCCTGTACTTCCAAGTATTTGCGAATACAACAGAAAATCCCTAAGTAGTCGGGGGACTCCAAGCGAGCAATTCCTATCGCAGGAAACAACAAGTGACGGCGTGTTGGAAGACAAAGTATCTACCAGTCCACATGTGGAAGAGGCGGTTGAAAACAATATCGCTAAGGAGGGGCTCGAGTTGTCCAGCGCTACACCACTTGTCGTGGATACGTATATAGAAGAAGTGGGTATCCATAATGTGCAAGTAGAAAAGGTAGCGAATTGTAGCGGTAGTGATGAGCATATAAAAAACACGGATTCTAGGCCCTCTGCGAATGCATCAAGCACAGAATTTGTGGCGAATGACGACGATGAACACTGCGCTATTGAAACAACGGAAATAGATAATGCAGTGCAGAATATCGATGCGAGAGACATTTCCTCGATCCAGTCCTCATTTCAAGTGGAACAGAAGCTCGATGCACCAACGCACGTAGATATAAACTCAGCAACAAGCGAAGTGGAGGACGAAGTAAATATGAGTGCAGCGAAGAATGAAGACCTTAAAGTATTATACCAAGAGGACCAAGGCATAAAAACAAGCTAGACGCTGATATAGCGAATGAGCACTCATCGCTCGAAGCGTCTCCTGAACCCAGAACGAATGAAACAAAGTCTGAAATTGCTATTTCACAGCCAGACTCGTCCGGGGATGGAATCGTCAAATCATCTGTCTGCAATGAACGTTTGCCACCTGTCTCCGGTACCGAATGCGAAAATTCAGCAAAAAGTAAGAGCACCGAAAAGCCACCGCTCCGCTCACAGGTAAGCAGTATCGTAGACAGTTTATTTGAGACAGTATCGTGCGAGATGCTTGCACAGAAACAAGCAAATGAAGCCAATCGTCGGGAGGCTGAGACCGAGTTAGCCCGGGCTGAACACGAGGCACAGGATGAAACGCAAGCGAGCCAGAATATACAACAGCCTTCCGAGAGAAGTGCAGACAATGCACTGTTCCCGCTTGACATGCCACCTCGTCGACTAAGTAAGGTGCAACGCATGCTCGGCGAAGAAGTACCTGAGGGAGGTCCCATGCTAACAATTATTGATAACGAGGCGGCTTCGCTATTGAAGTCGGCGTTCGCGGGTGCGCATACGGCTCAAACCAATGGGGTCACATCGCAGACATCCAGCGCAATGGCACCGAGGTGTACACGCCAATCGACTGAGGAAGAGTTCAGGCCACATCTCGTCCATAGGGACACCTCTATTTTTGACGGTATGCTCATTGGGTCGTTTAGTGGTAAGGGTAAAGAGGAATACAAGGCGCCGCCAAAGCGCAAGGTGAGTACTGAACAGCAACAGCTCGCACTGAATGGACCAGGCGAGAGGAAGGTGCCCGTGTCGGCGGACGAAGCGCGTAGAATGCAGATTTACGGTACTTTGCCTATAAAAGGCAGACACTCTAAAGAATCTTTGATCGAGAAGGGCACTAGATCCAATCGAACTAGTCCGCTATGCAAAGGTGATAGGGCTGAGAGTGCTATCGGAGATCTTATTGCGGGAAATTGCAATCCACGACTACCCATGGCGCACCCTGGAGAAGCCCACCCGGGGGGCGCTTCAGCGCGTACACAATCACATCCCAACAGACCCGGCACGCCCAGACGCACTACGTCTGCACAAGGGTCTGATTTGATACCAAATCAATCCAACCACAGTAAGCTGGGTAGTGGTCAGTGCACAAGTGCGTCCGTTCCTAATCTAAGTGACGAACATGCGCTGAGTCTACGAGCGCTCCAGGGAAGGAAAGGCGTGGCCAGTGAAGAACTTCTCTCCATAGCCAGCATCACTTCTGGGCACCCACTGCGTAAGCACTGTCACAAGAGATCTGCATCCCATTCGAATGGTACCCAGAGTTCCGGGACGTATCCACTCTCACCGAACAAACACAGTCTATCTCACAACAACCAAGCCATACGCGGTCGTGGCGGCACACTGCACAACAGGTCCTCGTCCGAGTCGCGCAGGCGTGCAAGTAGCGGATCAGTCTCCCAGGGGAGTATGTCCTCGGGAACGGGTCGCAGCACAATGTCGAGATTGTCAGCACGAGACGCGCAGTTGGGGTTGGTTCAGGGGACTGGAGCGAATTGGACAGGCACTCTGACTAGAAGCAACAGCAAGCACCTAGGCCAAGAGTTGATCATATTTGGGGCGGTGCATGTATCTGGGATGTCGCGGTCATGCCGTGTGTGCCACACTCAAGGCCGAGGAACTGTGCCCAGAGGTGCGAGTGCGGCCACGAGCACGTTACCGCGACGAGGGGCTAACATGAAGGATGTGCAGGACTTCAGATCGGTCGAAAACGGACGCTTACATTACCGTATAGGTGTATCTGTGAACGCTAGCACGCCACAGACTGTGTTGATGGACTGCAAAGGCGAACTTATCACACGTTTGAGCAAACAGCATAAGTTCATGGGTATGACGCCCACAGTGTATGTGGAGGATCTCAGAACAGTCGCGGTGAACGGTCGTGTGTTGTTGCCAGGCAAGGTAGCACTAAGCAAGCAGAAAGGTGTGCGAGTCTTGACATACACTAAGAGTATCACAATCAATGATACCCTGAAGGAAGGTGAGTGCATCAACGTGTTCTTCTGCAAGGACAAGGAGAAAGCGAAGGAACGCAAATTGGCGGATAACACTAAGCACCACAAGAAATAACAGAAGGCCCGAGCGAAGGCTCTAAAGACACTCGCCGGCAAGAAGAAGAGCAGGCAACCAAAAACCCTAAAAACATCACGCCGCGGTATATTATATTCAACAGCGACAGGGACATCTTAGCCCGCGCAGTGCCAGACTTGGATCATGGTACCTACCAAGTACAGATTGCCCCTGGGGTAGACCACGTGGTTATACTGAACCTCGTGATGTCTCTCAATTCCCTCAAGTAATGCTCATAGTGGCGAGTCGCAGGCGTGAGCAATCGAAGCTCGCAAACAAGTGTAAAGGAGAAAAAGGAAAAGTATATACAATAGAAGACAGAAAATATTAACGAATGCAAAAGCAAGCAAATTGACGCCAAAAAAGTTCCCGCTGGGGAATACGAGAAACACTACAGGATAGTGAAGCGAACCAGGCCAGATAGCATACTTTCAAGTGCAATATTCATCAGGTACGACATGTCCATAATGATTCACAGCGATTATATCACGTTTCAACAGTAAGCACGGATCTGAGTAGCAGAGTGTGGTATATGCCTAACAGTTGAGGCTACGCACTGCACAATGCAAGCACGGACACGTTGAGCACAAATCTTACCACTTCAGAGAGATGAAGCAAGGATTATAAAAGAAAATGAGGCAAGGATAATAAAAGAAAATGAAACAAGGATATTAACAGAAAATGAGGCAAGGATAATAAGAGAAAATGAAGCAAGGATAATAAAAGAAAATGAAATAAGGAGAACAAAAGAAAATGAAGCAGGGACAACAAAATAAAATGAAGCAAGGCTAATAAAAGGACATGAAGCAAGGATAATAAAATAAGCAGCAGCGACTGTATTCTACAGCTCCTGTGTCTACTTCACTAGGGTACCTGCGTTGATAATAAAATAAGCAGCAGCGACTGTATTCTACCGCTCCTGTGTCTACTTCACTAGGGTACGTGCGTTGATAATAAAATAAGCAGCAGTGACTGTATTCCACAGCTCCCGTGTCTACTTCACAA